GATATTTTACAAATGCCTCTCTTTCCTTGTGAAGCGCCTGGGTCCTCCCAAGCTGGCTCCCCATCGCTCGACGGGGCATCAGCTTCCCTAACAGGCCCTAGCACGGTGCGAACACCCGTGCCACGTATGGGCTTGTCTCCTTCGAAACAGCCCAAACAGATTGCCATCACAAAAAAAAAACATGCTGTGCGATAGCACCAAGGGATCCACCCCCCCCCCAACCCCCAACCCCCACCCACCCACTCACCCCCACCCGAACTGCATTGTTTTACTACAACAAGGGGTCCGCAAGTTGAAGGACCCACCTACATCACCGCGTGTTCCTGGCGGCACATCCAGTGCTTCGACGCACTCTTGGCCCCCCTGCGTGGCACGTGCTGCAGCAGCAAAGCGGCGCTCGGGGTGGATGCAAAAGACCATGGTGACCTCGGCTGGATGCGTGGCATGCAGCTGATCAAGATGCGCCGCCGCCAACACCCATATATGCCAAACTAGAATTAAATGTTTATTTGTTCTAATCTCTAGAAACCGTTTTGGATGCGCCTTTTTTATAATTTCACCTTTTCTTCCCCCTGTTGGTCCTTTTTTAGTACTCTTTTAACCTTCTACAGGGGTGGAACCACCATAATCTTCCTGTCGTGCGGTAGTCTTCCTGTAGCTTTCCTGCGCTGTGTTCGGCTCATTACTTCTCATTCGTAGCACAACAGAGCCAATCTTCGTACAACCTTCGTTTCAAGACCTCTCGTCCTGCAAAAGCCGCCAAATGCACGATGATAATCCTTCATTTTCAAGACTCGCCTTCTTTTGGGGGGTTTTCAATCTATTCCACTCGAATGCATATCCCTTGTACCAATCTTTTTGGTGGTAGCTCAGATGGACTGTGTCTTTCCGGACCCTGAGACCCGGAAGTCCGAACCCTGAGGCGCGCAGGCATGGCCGTCTGAAAACTCACCTCAGCGTCCGAGGGCACAGCTCCGCAGTCCTCCTTAAGGCCCTCGTACAAGACCTCAAGGTGCCGGATCTGACCCGTCGCTATGGTTCTGATTCACCCTGAATTCCTCCAAAGCCTACATGTCACGATTGCAAACACTCAAACGCGCGGCCAGAAATTGCCGAATTTCCCCCAGAAGCTTACCGCTCCAAAAATCAAGCGACCCAGCCTGGGGTTCGAGTCTTGGGGCCCAGGCCATGTTGAGAGCGCTCTGGCGCCGGTCAGACCTGAACAAGCCAGTGGCGACGCCAGAAACGGGTCCCACTCTTAACAACTGAGTGTGTGGACTCTCTATGAGCCCATGCTCACGTTGGCCCCTTTTGGTAGATATGTTGCCTTAATTGCATCATAAATGAGCCAGAAAAAGCACAAACCTATAGAACCCTCCCGGTTCGCCTTCCGCTTTGTGCTTCGATGGTTGCTTTGCCTCTTGCCGGTGGCGGGTGGCACTTTGGCCTTGCCAAGACTCCTCCGCGAGGCCGTGCAAGCAGTGCCGTCAGCCGAGACCAAGGGTTCATGATGCATATGTGACACGTGGATGGCGCATGTGCGCAAAGCATTGGACTACCTGACACTGACACCCTGTCTCGGACAATGGCAACGAACACGGGGCCTTTGCAAGAGTCTTCGGGATAAACCGATGGAAAGCTTTGGCACTGCACGCGCGGCCCACTCCGCGTTTGCGCCGGTGGCCCTCACGTCAATGAGCCACGCCGGCCGCGCCTGCGCCAGAACCTGCCCAGGCGAGTTTCTGGCGCCCAAGCAGGTCTCACGCATGTGTCTCTCTTTCCCGGACCAAGTTTTTGGCCATTTATCAGAACCAGTTTACTGATCTCAACCCTCATTGGTCATAGACCCTTCAGTCAAAGCCTCACAGTGCGTTTAAGAGGTGCAGCTTGCCACCTTTCTGCGAACAAGTCCTCAAAACAAAACAGGCATTGGTGAGATCCTTTCCGACGCCTGCGCTACCTAGCCTCGAAGTGAACGCAAACGCCCTCGAAGACGAGCCAAAAGCAGCAACAGCACAAGAGCCAGGAACCACCTCCTCGTCAGTCAAACGTTGTCAAACGTTTCTTCGGCAAAGTCTGGACTGGCTACGCCGCAGGCAACCTCAATTGAATCAGGGCCAGGATGTCACAACCTAAAGTGCAATTTCTGGAAACTCCTTCCTGGAAACTTGGAAAGGTGCCAAAGTGCTGGCTTCCTGCAACGAGGCTGCCTTGCCCACAAGCCATCGTAATGCCTAGGCGATCCGGCTCTTTCAACGGGCATCGACTCCAGCTGCTTCTCTTTTCCCAAGCCATGCGCGCGCGGCCAAATGCCAGGGCGCAAGCTTTGACGCCCTTGGAACAATGGAAAGTCGCCGGCTCCAAATGGCAAGTTCAAAGCGACTCGCTCCGCGCAGAAACGGCACTGCAAAATACTAAGGGGAACAAACATGGGATTTGCCATCTGTCTGCCCTCAAACGCTTCGATCAGTCGGCTACAGAGCCCTGTTGTAGGACCTTGTCTTGCTGCAACCTTCTGCCTACTTTGGCTCGACGACGCCATGCACACCGCTGAGACAAACAAGAAGACACGCAAATAGCATCCTGGTCTTGGGCTCAATGAGCAACAAGAATCTTAGATAAGAAGAGCCCTAGCTACTCCCTCGTCTTTGGAGGGCACTGCGAGATCGCGTGGGAGGTCTGCTTGATCTGGGGTGACAGCTCAGGCCTGCAACCCAGAGACCGGCCAGTCACGCACTGAAAAACGTAAGGGCATGAATGAAGGGGCAAACGTCGCCGTATGCTACCCCCTATCTGAGATCTGAATGAAGCCTGTGTGGCGAAAGCTGTCTTGTCATAGAAATCCGAGTTGCTCATCTGGCACTCACAACGGTCAGGGGCGCAGGGGCAAGAAACTTGACACGAATATGACAACGGTGTGACCATTGGTTTTGCCCACTCTCCCTCCGTCTGGCCCAACGAAACTTATCAAGCTCGCTGCCTTCTGCGCGGACTCCTCCAAAGAATCCTCTGCTGCACGCTTGACGCCCCGCGTGTGTGGCACCGCGACCTCAATACCGCCTCAGCAGAAAGCAAGTCGCTCGCAAGAAGCCGGATGAAATGCATGTGTATGTGTACCGTACAGGTAGCACCCAGAGCCCAAGAGCCCGAAATCTTGCAAGTAGAGAAATTTCGGAAACCCTTCCACACCAAGGCCGCGGAGAGCACACAGTGGCATTGGAATTTGAAGGATGTCCGATCAAAGTGTCAGAAGAATAAGACATGTCTTTGCCATCCGCCCCTCATCCCCCTTGGCCCACCACGCTCTGTGATTCTCACCGGGTACGTTGGCTGCTGGGCGCCCTTGGTGCTTTCGCCAGTCCGCAGGTCGAAGCAAATCCCATGACCAGGGCATCGCACCACGCAGCGATTGTCCGCCAAGTCTTCCACGTCCCCACCCGCCAAAGACGCGCCTGGCAACTGGGGTGAGGGCAGCTGCTTCCAATGGCTGACACCTTTCCGCCCTCCAATGGAGATGGTGGTCATGCTTTTGAACCATCGGCGGGACCAAGTCATGATGAATGCATGACATGGATCGCGCAACCATGCAAAAGTTATAGCAGGAACAAACTGCTGCAACTCGCACACCGACTCATCAGCACGCAGGGTCGTGGCATGTGGGGACCCTTCCGCTGCAAGGATCGAGTGCACACCACCCCGGAGGCCCCGGGCCAATCAAATCACGGTGACTCAAAACCTTGCTGTCAGGATGAGGCGCCCATGTGGCTGCATTTGTCGTCCAGAGCAAAGAGCTGCCCCTTGTGGCGGAAGATGGCCACCTCGCGATTCCCGACTTGCACCAGCTTCCTGCCCTCCAGCTCGTTGTCCGCGCACACACGCACCCACCTGGGCATTTGGTCCAAAACATCATGGCAAAGACCAGCAAAACACCTGCCAATTCCTGCCAGCCTCGACAAGAGGTGGAAAACCGATCCGGAGGATGGCAACCAAAAGCTGATGTTCAAATTTCACTCAAAAGTGGACCCCGAAAGTGCATTCAAAAGGGATAAGAGCACTAAAGCAAAGCCTATGATACTATGACTTGATGGCTAAAAGACATATTTGTTTGACTGTCGTAGACGCATTCAATTCCAGGCTCCCCGGCGCCAGGTTCTCCAGACTTGGCTCGCGCTCGCGGCTCGGACTGCTCCCGGGGCTCCCGGGGCTCCCGGGGCTCTCGGGGCTTGGGGCCCGCATCCTCGGAAGGCCCAACAGGCAGAAACAAAAATCGCAAACGAAACAAAGATCAAAAGATCAAAAGATCAAGAGATCAAAGCAAACCAATCAAAAGAGCAGCACCGCCAAAATCCAAGAATGGATCTGAAGACTGAATCTGCTCAAATGTGCGCGGGTGCTTGCAGTTGCCAGTTTTCCTCCTTGAGGGCAACCGGGCTACTATGATCTGAACCCGCTCAGTCTGTGCAATCAAGCATCTGAAAGTGGAAGTCTGGTGGAACTAGGTCGGCATAGTCATCATCCTTGAGACACAAACGGAGTGATGTTCATTGCGGACATTTTGACAACGCAAGGAACTGGCATGCAGTTTGAACCCGTCAGCCATAAACAAGCAAGTGCTTGTTGGCGTGTCCATATTCTCGCCAGGCATCATGGGTGTAGCTTAAGCAAATGGTATCGGCCTCCCCAGTCTTCCAGTGGGCCATGTCTGCCAACTCTCTGTACTCCTGACCAGTCATGACTCTGAGAAAGCTCAAAAACGGATGCCCATGTGCTGGAGGATAAAAGGCTGGATGCTCAAAGGAAAGAACGCAGCTCCGGCACTGCCTGTTGCATCCTGTTGCTTATCTTGCTTCGCTCCAACGCAGCACCTACGCCTTGACCTTCTTGCTATCTTCATACCACCTTCTTTTTGTCAACCTCTGCATCTCTTACACTGTATGGCGCTCGCCGATGTCAACGCCCCAGAAACGATTTCCCGCTTTCCCTTTGACGGTCGGCTGCTCTCACCTCACTTTTTTTGGCCTGGCACAAGGTCCCCCCCCGCTGCGCCGCGCCTGGGTCCTGCGAAAGGACCGGCTCTTGGTCCAAATAATCAAGGAGGCCCGCTCCCCGCTGTCGATGTCCAGGGCGCCGTGCCGGTGCTTGCCGCAATGCACCACGCACCAGCCGCGCCGGTGCTGGTAGGTGAAGGAATGCTTTCGGTGGTCCTGCATGGCAGGTCACCAACTTCAAATCTGCTTTCTTGTTTGTTTTGTTGCTTCGTGTGTGTGTGTGGGTTTGCTGGCTTGCTGGCTTGTTTGTTTTCCTTGGATGCCAATCCCTATTCAAAAGGGTCATTCCTTTCACATCTCCCTGGATCAGAGCTATCATCCCCCTCCTCGGCATAGAACATGCCGCAGAAGGCCAGTTGACTGCCCCGGTACGCATCATCTTCACTGAGGCCAATATTAAAGGTGATCTCGCACCTGGGTAGCCGAAGGCTCCCCATGCTTCAAGGAAGGAGCAACATGCCAGTGCAAGCCTTGCCATCAACATTGGAAGCTCGGCATTGGGTTCCAAGCTTGCCAGTTGTTGGCAGTGAAGGCAGGGACTTAAGGAAGAACATGACAACAAAATGTGAGGCAAGCCTAGAAGGGCAGCATGGCGGATGCGTCACTGCCAAACAGGACCACAGGATGTGCCCTGCGGCTGTGTTCTCGAGAGCCGTATTCAAGCCACGCGAGTCAGCACAAACCTTCCCTGCACCAAGGCACTCATCCACATGCATGTCCAAATTCCGGTCGTTGTCCGGCGCGTACTGCACTACAAAGGTGTGGTGCCTCCACAACGAGCATATGCACCACCAACATCCGATACTAAGAAAGCACCCAAAGTGATCCGCCTTCATGTGCCTCGCTCTGTGCCAAGGTCTTGCTCGTGCTCCAATGCTGCCACAGCTTGCAATCTGCAAACATGATGCTTAATACGGTCTTGGCCTTTCAAGAACCCCAAAAAATACCATGCTTGGCGGGATTTGCTAATGAACACAAACAGGCAGGTTTCCCTCACACATACCCAAAAGAAACAATTTGCACCAAGCAAAAGCACACCCCGTCAGCGAACGCGCTGCCGAGATGCTGATCCAGCTCCGAGCCACCCCAGTTCCTGCAGTGCGTCTGCTGCCCCTTGACGAGCTCCTTGTGGGCGGGCCAAGATCTCAAATGGGCGAGCATCTTGGATGGCTTGGGAAACACCTGGACCTGCTGGTAGCCGTTTTTGGGTTTAAAAACCCAGAATGAGTTGTCATTTGGGGGGCGTTGTGATGCAATGCGTCGGATGTGTGCATGTGTGACTGCCTGAGCACATGTGGGTGTGTAGCTGGGACACAAAAACGAGTGTTTGCGCTTCATTCTTGATAGCTTCGCTATTTTTTGAGGATTTCCTCTCTCTCTCTCTCAGGGCGCGCGGCGAAGTGTGCGCAATTCAAATCTGCAAGTTCGACACCTGATGGCAATGGACGTCACTTTTCACAAAGCTTTGCAAAGGCATAGTGCCATCACGATTGGCCTGCGGGGTGGATGGAAAGGCAGGCCAAAGTCAAAGTAACGCCCTCAAAACAAGTGTCACGCGCGTGATGGGCTGCAGGGTGCGAGGGGCTGAAACTTGGACCCTTGAGAAAGTTGAAATCTGGAAGCTGGAGAGCTCAAAAAAGGCACTTGACATCTGACGCGTCTGTACCTCTGCGCACAACAAGCTAGTAACCACGACAAAGAAAGTTCCCTTGCAACCAGACCAGCCTGCCGGCCAGCCTGAATTCAGAGAAAACAACGCTTGCAGACAATCATGTTTCTCAGTGCCAAGGTCAAACTGCGGCCATCGAGGGCTCCAGCCGCACATCATCAGCACCGAAGAGCCGCGCGCCCAGAGGGGCCAAGACCTGGCGAAGTGTCCGAGTTCCGCGCCTCCATGCGCCAAACAAGATTTCCAGCTTTCCTGAGTTTAATTGGTGGCTTGGGGATTTGGCGCAACAGTGATGCCTCTAATTGCAGACCAGCGCTTTCGTAATTCCATGTTACATAAACGCCTGGAATTGCGGAGCTAAGTGCGCTGAATTGAGCTGCCCATGCCCTGTCTACGTGGCTCGTGGAGAAACAAAGCAAGAAGAAGCTTGTTTTTAAACCCACAGAATGAAAGGAATTGGAAGAGAAGAAAGAAACGCAAAAGAGAGAGAGAGAGATGTCAAATATCATGTTGCACTACTTGTCACTTGTACATGCATGATGTACACTACCCGACTGCAGGCCTTGAGTCTACTAGGAAAAGAGTGCATGCTGGCTGACTACATTTGTGTTTGTGATAACTGAACAACACTTGCACTAGAAGTAAAGTATCAACGTATTTTAACGTGGTAGCGGAGCTGAGATCCTAAACATAGGGGAGCTCCAGTAACAGCAGTAAGTACTACAACTGCACAGGCAACCAACATGCCCAACTACTACGACATGTCAGGAGAACCAGCAGCAGCATCAGCACAACCAACTACAGGAGCAGACAACGGGCCCACAGCAGAAGAGACAATAGGAGCCACAACTACGGGAACAACACAGGAGCAGGAAGACGTCTACACAAATACAAACTGCCACCACCGTTCTTCACTGGTGACTACTCACAGTATGAAGAGTGGCTGTTCAAACTACAAGCATACCTCGGACTTATCGACCGAGACTTCGACATGGTGCTACAACTAGCACAAGCAGCTACAAGACAAATTGAAGACGCAGACATCAGAGCCCACATACGCGACCCTACACAGGCAGCAAAAGCAGTAGACCTCTCACGAGATCTACACTACATCCTCATCAACATCTGCCAAGGAGCAGCAGCTACAGTGGTTAGACAAAACCGCTACAATGCCAATGGATGTGAAACACTACGGCTTTTGCACAACAGGTTCAGCCTACCAGTAGGAACACGCAGTGTTGGCTACCTCACCAAACTACCGGAACCTACATTCAATGAAGCACAATTTGAAGAACAATTCCTACAGTGGGCATACGACATCAACCGCTACGAGAAAGACAACGGCACAGCACTACCAGATGGAGTAAAGATTGCAATACTACTCAACAAGACCAAAGGAGCACTCCAACAGCATCTCCAACTACGTGCTGGACAGATCACGAACTACAACGAGATCAGAGTTGTCATCCTGGACTACTACAAAACCATCTCTGCATTCTCAAGAGCGAGCTCAGCAGTTGGCACAAACTACAATGGTGGGACAGCACCGATGGACGTGGACAACATTTGGAGAAAAGGAAGAAACTACAAAGGCAAAGGCAAATATGGAGGCAAAGGACACTACAAAGGAAACAAAGGAAAAGGTGAGTACAGATGCAAAGGCCACTACAAAGGATTCGACAAAGGCAGCAAAGGAAACTACAACAAAGGAGGATACAACAAGAACAAAGGAAAAGGCTACTCAGGATCCAAAGGACATGGATCAAGCAAAGGCTACAAAGGCCAAGGAAACTACAGCAAATCAAAAGGAAAGGGAAACAACAATTACACAACATGCCATCGATGTGGCAAACCAGGCCACTGGGCACAAGACTGCAGAGTGCCAGTATGGCACACAGGAGAAGGAGAAGAACCACATCCACTAGAACAAGAACAAGCAGATCACGACAACAATGAAGAACTACCTCAGGATGTGAACGACACTTGGGACTGGTACTACGAAGGAGAAGAAGGACAACACGAGGTGAACTACATGGAGGAGAACTGGAACGACTACGACTATGACAACAGCTGGGATTGGAATGACGACAGCTATGAGGACACTGCAAACTACATTGGAGGCATCAACGAGTCACACCTCACAATTGGACACATCAGACAAGCAAACTCACGACTACACAAGCACAAATCCAAATCACTACTTGGGAAGAGAACAACACACACAACATCATGGAACGACCACAGCAAGAGCTTTCAGCAATTCCTACAAGAAGACAACACACAGCCACACTTTGATATAGCAGCAGCCAGACAACAACAAAGGAACAAGAAGATTTGAGAACACTATCACACACTACATCATGTACTCCAACTTCAAGTCATACCACCACCTGCTGATCGACTCAGGAGTGTCTACACACGTTTGCCCGAAGGACTACGCACCAGACCTACCGCTACGACCTTGTGGAGAATCGGTTCCACAACTCTACACGGTTACCAACAAGAAGATTCCTGTCTACGGCATCAAGTACGTTCCCTACAAGCAGGACAACTTCAGGATCATGATACCCTATTACGTTTGTGATGTGAAGTACCCAATCCTCAGTGCATCAAGACTACTTGATAGAGGATATGGACTTGACTTCACTCCACGACACTGCACCATCACACATGGACAACAACAAGCACACCTCATCAGACACTCAGGACTTTTCTACCTACGAGCAGAGAAGATCGACATCCCTACAGGATTCGACATCTATCCAATGACTACAGACAGTGGAAAACCCATTGCTGTGATTCAACCTACAGAGAGAGCAGCACAACAACAAGAACAAATCGCACCACTCACACACACAGACCAAGGACTACGACAGATCCTTGGTGGAAACACTGACTACTGGAAACTTGATGGTGACTACGCCATCAGAGTACACAAGCGACCACGCAAAGCACTGTTCACACCACACAACAGTGGCTGCCCAATACCAGAAGGAGAACTAGATGATTGGCGACTAACCATCATCAACAGACAAGGGCAAGAGCAAGAACAACTACAAGAGAACCCAACACAACTTTCCACGCAAGAACTACAACGAAGACTAGAGGGTGACAACTGGACTGGAGAAACCAGATTCAGAAGAAAGATAACACCTACACGCAGAGCAACATCAAAGACCACACCAACAAGGCAGAGCTCACAACCACAACGGCTAATGGACACACCACCAACCAGATCAAAGATCCAACTACGAGCACCACAAAAGATATGGAGACCTAAAGCAGCACCTTCTACAAATCTTGACACCACACAACCAAAGGAGACAATCCACAGACCACTCACAGCACAGGAGGACAACCAAGACTACTGGGAAAGACAAGGTGAACACTGGACCACACAACACTTAGGACAACTCTCTTCACTCCAACAGATGGACCAGGACATCCACCAATCAGCACACTTGAACCTCACAGAACTACAATCATTCACAACAACTTTGGAGAAGTTTCACAACGCAAAGATGACTGGACAGTCATGGGCAACGCAGCACTACCATTTCAATGGAAAGGAACAACAAGGTTCACCGTGAAGAAAGACTACGAGTACATCCAGGAGAGCCACGATGAGGAACAACAACACGAGCATCATGAAGCACACAGAGCAAGAGGACTACGACAACCGCAGCAGCCCACTCCACAACAAATAGCAGAACACAACTTGACACACCTACCATACAGAAATTAGTGTCTAATTTGCGTTCAAGGCAA